CGTAAAAAAACTGAAAGACGAGTCTGTTATTTTCTCTGGTAATCAACATTGACACAAATGCTGTTGATGAAGCTGAACTAGTATTGACACAGCAACATTCATTTAACCAGCGCTCATAGTTCAGTCACAAGAGCAAAGAGCTCCTCAGATATTGAGTGCCTTAACCTTAGCACTGTTTACATGTAAGACAGTGTTTGTATAAGGCATCTTTGCTTAACTCATCACTAGGCATGGGACCAGTGGTGTAGTCGGGGCCATACGCAAGTATACGCCGTATGCTTACTTTTTTCCCCGGGATGTTTGCGTATTACGACTTCTAAGGATCAATATTTGCGTATACCCTCGGTATACCCACTTGTTTTGTTGCTTCGCAAGTCCGTAATCTACTGTCATGTAGCTTCCCCTTTAATGGTGTCCCATACTGCTGTGTGAAATTCGTGATTCTTTGTAATTGGTGCAATATCACTTCTGTCATTCAACGCCGCTCATTGTCGCTCGCGCTTGGTGTTTTGAGCCGCACTGAGCGCAGTTCTCGTGCTGCAACAGTGGATACACGCCGTAAGGAAATATGGTAGTGAGTGCACGGATTTGAGTGGAGACATTCTCTCGTTAGTAGCCTATCGAAAAAGGAAGCCCAATATGATAGCGCGGCCACGACGTGAAACAATTACTTTCGAATATTTTGACTAACACCCTGACCCGAGCCTCCGTTACATAAAATATAGATCTAACAGAGGAATGAGCCGTATGCAGTTACTGAAGAGAGAGAGAGAGCAGAAGAGAGCGCGTGAATATGAATTACTCGCATATGACCGGCTTTCCCAACTATTTTATTGATAAAGTCTTTGTGTGTGTTAGAGAGAGAACACGCTGTCCAACAATTAATGCCACGGATCCCCAAATATAATCCCTTAGTCACTATAGTTTTGTCTGCTAACTTAGCTGAGTATTAAACTGCTAGCAACTGTTAGGCTATCAGGAGCACCCCATTATTATCATGTCAGAATACTTTATGCTAAAGGACATCATACTGTAAAGTTACATTAATACATTTAGCAGACAGATATTCGCATGGATTTAGGATTTATAGAAGGAGGGAGAGCAGACAGCAAAACAAAAATATGAGTCAATTCAATAGTGTTCAGTAGGCAGTAGGCTGATTTTTCAATAAAGGTATTGGACTGATTTTTATAAATAGGCACTTTAAACACAAATTTGTTTTAATATATTTGTATGAAAAATAGGTTTGTTACATCTTGGGTATTTAAGTCATTTTAAGATAAATAACATTCTGTGCAAACAAATTAAAATGAGGTGGTTGATTTGCAACTAGGTGGACACAGTTCTGTTCATAACGAAGTGACAGGAAAACACACATATACGCAAGGGATGGACAGAGATATTGGGGAAAATGAAGAAACGGAAAAAACGGAAAATGGTGCAGTTCAAGAACCTTAAATTATTTTGCACAGCTCCAGCCTAAGGGTTTAGACCTTTGTGATGGCCATACAAATAATAGGGTTGTTTGTGGTTTCAGAATTTGTTGTGGGTGTATAGGATGGCCTGGATGAGTATGAGATTTCCCAGCCTGAAATTGTGTCCCAGTCCGGCCC